CACGTGCACACACAGTTCGTTAGTCTTTTCCTAGGCCACAGATTTTCATCTAGGAACCTACCTCTGTGATAACAGAGGTAGGTTCGACCTACACATCTTACTGGGCTGGGCTGCAACAGGTGAACAAGGCACCTTTTTTACTAAGGCGCCAACATCGGTCCAGGAATATTTAGACCAGTCACACTCACTCCTTTAATTGTGAAGGAACTTAGTAACATCCGCAAAGCCAACCTTGGAGGCCGTTACAGAAATCAAGAGGCCGCGTGGTCCCTCGTAAGTCAGGCGCTAGGAGGGCCGACCCTGAGACTTCCTCCGGCATAAGCGACGAGACCTAGGAGATCAACTGTGGTCTCACCTGGTGCTTCCACTTCCCTCCTCTAACCTGCTCGGCCACCCAACGCCGCCGCCTGCTCGATGCTCCAGTTTCTTCTATTTTCTTTTCCGACCTGTTTCAAACCTCGCGGCCAATCCGCTCAACCAATCAGAGAAGAGGACGCGCAGGAGCCAATCGCTGCCCGGGGCGCGGTCACCGAGAAGCCAATACGAGCCAGAAGTTGCTTTTCAGTCCAGTGGGGGCTCCTTTTGTCTGGCTTAGGGGGCGGGGCTCGCTTTGTTTCGCTTCGCTCCTCTGAGAGAGGAGGTTGGTCTTCCCGTGCAACTCCGTCGCTTTTCCAGCGGTTGCTGCCGTGCGCATCTTAGTCCAGACGCGAGACCGCTCAGCTCTTTCCTCGGCGTGACTGGACTCCCTCCTCTTCCTTCACCTGGTCACGAAGCGGCGGTGCTCGGCTAGAGAACGTGACCGCCGGGAAATCATAAGATACCGCATGGATTTCGGACTGCCGCACGCGCTTAGTACTGTTCTACAGTCCGCAATCTAACTCAGTGTTTCTCAACCTTGGCAACTTTTAAGATGTGTGGATTTCAACTCCCAGAATTTCCCTGCCAGGGAGTTGAAGTCCACACATCATAAAGTTGCCAAGCTTGAAAAACACTGATCTAACGGATCCCTTCACGCTCTTGAAACTGCAGTCTCGAAGCCATGTTGCTTCTGGATGCACCAGATTTGGAAGCACAATCCCGGTCTTGCTCTCCAGCATTAAAAAAAAAAAGAGCAGTCAGGCTCAGAGGTGTAAAAGCACCATTAAAATGAACATAAGATTTTATACTGTTGCACATTGGTGATTGGACTTGCACAGCAAGTTTACCTAAAGGCACACCTATACTTATATATATCTTACTTACATATCTTCTATCTATCTTCCTTTTGGGGGAGGAAATTACATACATGACAGTCTGTAATGTTAATTTTCTACACTGTTCTAAGAAGCTTCCATATCTTCTTTCCTTACATCCATTTTCCATTCATTCTTTAGGGAGATTTATCCATGTTACCATACTTTTTACAGTGGGGCAAAAAAGTATTTAGTCAGCGACCAATTGTGCAAATTCTCCCACTTAAAAAGATGAGAGAGGCCTGTAATAACTTTTGATATTGACCAAATACTTATTTTCCATGGAAACATCATGCTTTGGGGCTGTTTTTCTGCAAAGGGACCAGGACGACTGATCCGTGTAAAGGAAAGAATGATGGAAACATCATGCTTTGGGGCTGTTTTTCTGCAAAGGGACCAGGACGACTGATCCGTGTAAAGGAAAGAATGATGGAAACATCATGCTTTGGGGCTGTTTTTCTGCAAAGGGACCAGGACGACTGATCCGTGTAAAGGAAAGAATGATGGAAACATCATGCTTTGGGGCTGTTTTTCTGCAAAGGGACCAGGACGACTGATCCGTGTAAAGGAAAGAATGATGGAAACATCATGCTTTGGGGCTGTTTTTCTGCAAAGGGACCAGGACGACTGATCCGTGTAAAGGAAAGAATGATGGAAACATCATGCTTTGGGGCTGTTTTTCTGCAAAGGGACCAGGACGACTGATCCGTGTAAAGGAAAGAATGATGGAAACATCATGCTTTGGGGCTGTTTTTCTGCAAAGGGACCAGGACGACTGATCCGTGTAAAGGAAAGAATGATGGAAACATCATGCTTTGGGGCTGTTTTTCTGCAAAGGGACCAGGACGACTGATCCGTGTAAAGGAAAGAATGATGGAAACATCATGCTTTGGGGCTGTTTTTCTGCAAAGGGACCAGGACGACTGATCCGTGTAAAGGAAAGAATGATGGAAACATCATGCTTTGGGGCTGTTTTTCTGCAAAGGGACCAGGACGACTGATCCGTGTAAAGGAAAGAATGATGATTTTCTGGATTTTTTCCCCCCATTTTGTCTCTCATAGTTGAGGTATACCTATGATGAAAATTACAGGCCTCTCTCATCTTTTTAAGTGGGAGAACTTGCACAATTGGTGGCTGACTAAATACTTTTTTGCCCCACTGTATATAGGCCCATACTTTGCTGAAATAATTCTACTTTCACTCCAGTTTCTTCCACTTCTCTTACCCTTTTCTTTCCTGTCCATTTTCCCTCAAGATCCTTTCTTAATACTACTGAACAATGGTCTGTCCCATATTCAGAACCTTTTGTCACCCCTGAATCCTTCGCTAATGCTTCCAACTTTTCATTATAAACAATCAGATCAATCAATCAAGCATTTACATTTATATTGATTCCTTTGCCTTGTGTACATATGAAGAGACTAGGGAAGTGCAGTGCTTGCAATCTGAAGCCAAAAAGATACTTCAGAGCAAGCAGGGGTGACGAATACTGCATCTGTCGGTGGCTTCTTAAAGAAGGCGTGTCTTTTGCTGTGCTCACACAGCAGCCACATGATCCCAGGAAAATAGGTGACTGAGTTAAGGAGCAGCAATGTCTGCAGCAGGGAATCAAAACCTGCAAGATGGCAGGCAGGGGTGCAGTTCAAGCCCTCCCCCTTTTGTATATGTACTGCATGCACATACAAAGGAGTTGTCACCAGGGTGCAAAAGAAATAGGAAGAACACTCTTTCATTTCACTCTTTAAATTATGCTATCATTTATTCATCTTACATTCCAAGTCATAATCTTCCACAGGCTGTGATCATCAGCAGATGGACCCAGAGTATTGCCCTCCTCCCTGTTTTGGGCCATAAAGACTTTCACATAGCACCTTTTGGTAAGGCAGAGAAGGCAGAGATTAGGTTATTAAACCGCGCCATGTGCACCACTTCTTGCTTACTGTAAGGACTGTTCCAGTCACATTTTGGCCGGTGTGCCACAAACAGACCCCAAACCCTGTTTTAAACCAGGCATACTCACACTATTTTATACAAGCTAGCACCTCTGATCTACAGACTGCCTGGCAAGTCTATGGCTCGTTGTCTGCATTCCACAAACACAAAGACTTAGGGTATTGTGTGTGAACCAAAAAAAAAAGGATTAATTTGGTCACCTAGGCTTAGCAGGTTCTGTAAATAGAGCGACTGAAAAGCTGTGCATTATTTCTGAACTGCATTTCAAATGAAGGTTAGGCTAACTGCACCCACAGGGACTTGAAAGCACTTCTTCGTGTATCACACAGTTCCTATTCAGAACGATACTTTCCAGGAATACCTCTGGCCTGCCAGGACTTGATTAGGGCTGACCACAGTATTGTCTATAAGAGGGTATTCTTACTCATAAAGTCAGAAATGCATATTTGGGGCAGTATGGGGCTCATGAAAGCCGACACTGACTCTTGTATCTTTCTTTTCTTTTTTAAAAATATTATATGATCAAGTAACCTGCTAGGAATATATAAAGTTACAGGTGAGTGTTTCGATTTTGTTTCCATTTAAAATATATTATCCTTTACCATATGTTAGATGATGCTTATTCCAAAGGAAATGTGCTCAACATCAGAACCACAACAGCAAATCACATGTCATTCCTACAGCCATAATGGTACTGTGGTTTAAGTGAGTTCAGAATGCAAAGTGGTACATTTTTAATCAGTAGTGGCAAACAGATATTCCCATTACTCTTTAGAATTATAAACATATGAAGCTGGGAAGGGGGGTAGGAGAAGTGTCATGTGCTTCTTCATAACTGACATGATCTACGGTCCCCCATAAGCCTACGGTGTGCTCTTTGCCACCTTAAGCAGCTTAGAAAGTGCAATGGAAAAAGGCAGGAGGCTTACAAGTGGAAGAAAACAATTCCATTACACATCTTATCTGAAAACACCACCCTTGAGAGATGACAAGGCTGGAAGAAAAAATAGAAACTTTTGGACAAAACCCCTTTCCCTATTTTTTTCCACACAGCTTTCTTGCTTGCTTGCTTGCTTTTTTTTTTTCAGGGAAAAGCTTGGGAAACATGGGTTCTTTTCCTCAATTCAGTTAGTTTGGATAACCATGGATGTCATACAGAAGAAGAATCCAGACTGTTCACTAAGCCACTGCGCTTGTGTGATAAGGGTAGTATCATACCTTTCAAATCCTCCCTCTGCTGCACTTGTTTTGCAGATGATGTTTCTTTCAATTCAATAAAAATAACTATCCTTTTTAAAAATGTGTTTTTCAAATATGCTTTGGAAAAATAAAATTAAAAAGCTCTGCAATTGTCCTAAGACAATATTGAAATAAATATTTTGCAGCTCCTTCTGAGTAGGTGTTATCAAAAAGGGGACCAGCTGTTTGGATATCATTCCATCAGCAAACTTTCACTTATGCTATGGCCTACTGCTTGTCTTCATTTCTTATTTCCCAAGTTTTAGTTAAGAATTCTGAGCCAGGAGACAGTAATGTGTCAGAAGCGAACAGTAAAAGAAATACAATATCTTTATTATTGTCTAAGAAACCAACGAATCTGCAGATATTAAATGAGTCTCCCAATGAAAAGAATAGGACACACATTCTATCATGAAGAATCTTAGGGAACAAAAGTGAGGCGTCAAGCAGTGTTAAACTAGTAAACAAACAAACAACTTTTTCCCTAAAGTAAGACTTCAGGAAACAGGCTTGAACTCCAACTTCTCAACCATGCACTACCCTTTTTCACTGCTTCATCAGCACCTGCAGAAGAGAGAGAAAAGTAAATCTTTCACATTTCCAAGGAGTCACAGTATCCCAGAACAGCTTCTAGCTCTGCTGCAGAGACATCATTTGTGTTCTGTGTGAAGATAAGAGTTTCCCACTGAGAATAAAAACTATACCTTAAAAACAGGCATACTTGTTATAGAAAGAGTTAAGGAAAGAAAAGGCTTCCATGTTGAGATGAATGCCATTTACACTTGGGAGACACAAGCAGAAGTACGATTGCTGAAGGGAAGAAAATTATTGGGATAAAACCACCTTCTGCTTTCCAGCCATGAGAACCTAGTGAAGGAATAAGGAATGTGATTTTGCCTATTCAAAGATGAATATCTTACCTTCTCACAAATCCTCGCATTTCTTCTGAGCACAGGAGTGCCTCACCCAACATTTGGAGTTGCTCCAGCACCTCCTGCTGCATCTCCACAGCAATGCGATGGATATGGTGGTTGGAATTATTGTACATGATGGCATTCTGAAACATCAGCATGAGATCACGTTGGAACTGGACCATATGCTGGATCTGGCCTTTAGACAAGTTTCTCTTTATGGAGGAAAGATCCACTGGTCTTCAGAAAGGCAGGAAAAAGCAAGAGTTCAGCTTTATATAATAAATTATTTATATATATAATAAGAGTTTGCAAAATAAAAAGGTTGCTTCCCAGATCTTTTTCCATTATATCAACATCCCAGAACTAATGAGAAAGCAAAATAAAATTAGACTAATAAAAGCAATTAGATATGAAACTCCATTTGCATTACAGGATACTTGTAGCCCAGAACACTTTACACTAGGTTTTCAATTAGTACTCAACCTTTGATGGTAAAGCAACTGCAATTCTAAATACATTCCCTTAATAGTATGCCACGTTGATATTTACGGAATGTACTTTCAAGTATGCATAGGATCACTTTACAGTTATACTGTATCTCAGATAAATAGTTATGCTGATGCAAAGACAAGTGTTGTGGCACCTTCAAGGCTACATCTGTCACACTTTGGGGATAAGCAACACTATACAAAGCATGGAAAAGGAATAAACAATACTAAGCAAAAGAAATGGAAGACTTAAGGGAAAAAAAGTAAACATTTGAAGACTAATACATTTACTATAGCATAAGATTTTGTGGATTACAATCCTTTCATCAGCTTCATGAAGTGCCATTTTGAGAAAGGAATATGTGTGTGTGCATATAAGCAAATGAGAAATGGGAGGGCAAGAAGGAAGTCTAAGACATGCAAACAACTTACTTGCAACTTACTTGCAAATAGTGGTAATTCAGGAAACAGTAGCTGTGCCATAAAACCTCTTACAATATTGAGTTGAGTAACACATGTACAGTAATGGAAGCTGGGAAAATTGTAATTTAGTGACCCAGTTAGCTCTCTTGATTGAAATATCCACTTTTTCATGGGAAGAAGTTCCATTATTTTTTCAGAGAACAGGACAAACATTGATGGATGGCATCTTACACTGGACTTCAGTCTGTCATTGTACTTTGCTTTTCTTTAAAGTGACTGTCTCTCCTCCCCTGCTCCACAGCTTTGGTTCGTGCCTATTGTTCTCAGGGAGATAGGTTTAACTATGCCCCACTATTTCCTGGATCAAAATCACTGCTCCCTCCCTTTCAAAACTGCTATTATCTACACAGGTAGAGGGGGGGAAGAGAGATAAAACCCTGGTACCAGTCAATGGTTAATAGCAATGAGAAAGCTATTCAGGCAAAAAAAAGCTGCCCAGCCTTGCAGTACCAATCCATGTCCTACCTTCCAAATAGCTGGATAGAAGAAAGTATAAGGACACAAACCATGGATCATATTTAGTTTGGCATTTGATCCCAACTGCCATGGCTGCAGAGAAGCTACCATGCAATGATTGTCCCATATCTCTGCTACTATATGCACCCTCACTTATCACATGACATTGACAGCAAATTAGTAGTAAAGTGCTCCTACGTCGTAATAATTTCACTTCTTCTCCCCTGCTTAAAAACCAAATTTTCTTCCCCTCTTGCATTTCTGCTACAGCTGGAACTTTTGTCCCAGTGAGATAACCCCATATGTTGCAGGCATTTTACGTTTATATTTGACAGGCTACTTGCCATGCTCCCACTTCTGTTTCACAGTTCAGGGGGGAAGACCTTGAATGCAGCTACGGTATCAGAATTTACTGGGATTACGCACTTCCTAGGTTTGCCATAGTGCACTGGGGAGCTCAAAGCATTCTGGGGCTAGAGGGACTGGGGTGGGGAGGAAACTCTGGTTGGTACTGATTGGTCTCAGAAGTCATCTACTGGCTTACTCAGACTGAGCAATGATTGGTTGAAGGTTCTCCCTGTGATTTGACAATGCTAAATGCATTTGGGAGTTATGGATGGGGAGGCCAAAGCAGGGGAAAGGCAGCTTTAGTTTAAACTAAATTATTTGGAAATGGAATGGATGGTGGAGTGGCAGAGCTCCAGAACTTCTGGACACCCATCTAATCTGGATTGTAAAGAGCAGTACAGGAGTAACAATTCCTTGCCATGGCAAAACAGAAATCAAGAGAATTCTCTAGCTTAGGACTACAAAATACATTGTGGAGAAAAAACTATTTCCTGATTTCTAAAGGGGAACAGTTCTCATAAGCACTGGACAGAGACAGAGGAGGAAAAGCTACTGAAAATCACATCCCAGACCAGCTCTCCCTTTTTCCTCACTGACCTTTTGACCACATCTTTGTAACCAGGAGCCTGCTTCTCTGAAACGGGCTTCAGGAAGGGGCCACTGTATCTAGGGGAGAAAGACAACGAAGTGGGTTACCAAACATATCCCATCCTTTCCTGTGTGGTTGGGATTGCAGTGATTAAAAGCTGGAAGGATGAAAGTCAACTCTTCCAATCAGCTTAGAATCGTGATACTACAATTGCAGAGTAATATTTCATATGTTGGTGGTGTTAAATATATTTTTATACCACTTCATATACAAAAGCATCTGGAAGTAGCTTACAGAATATAAAACACACAAAAGAAAAGCAGATTCCCCTCCCCCCAAAGCATTTCTCCAAACATTCATAGAAAGATGGCCTAAATGGAGAAAGAAGCCTTCAATGGGCACTTAAAAGACGTTAAGTTTGGACCTCACAGATTTAAAGAGAGACAGATTCTCCCTATCTCAAGAGATTCTCCCAATCTCAGAGCATGCAATAGGACTTCCTGTCACGGTATAAGTGATCAGTCAGCTCTGTGAGGTGAAGATGGCCCATCAGGTACCCTGTATAGGGCCTTATATGTAATACACAAAAACTCTGAACCTGGTTCAATAGCTAACTGGCAGCCATGATGATCAGTACAAACCTTCTTGTAGATTTCTACTCTACATGACTCTTTAGTCCTCTTCTCCTCCCTAAATGTCATTAGCTTACCTATGGCCAGCAACCATCTTCCAGATAGACAACAGAGTTTTCTTGAAGAGCAAATGCTGTTGAAGTGGATCATCTTGGCTCAAGTGCATCCTGGATAGAGAAGAAATAAAAAAGATTCATTTGTATTAGTGAACAGGAAAGGAAGATGGTAGGAAGGATAGGTTATGACAAATGGGAGGTCCCTTCAATTAAAAAATGCCTTCTTACAGGACCTCGGAAGCATGCCTTTTCTGTCGCAGCTCCTACACTCTGGAACACCATACCCCCCTGTAATCAGATTTGGTGCCAACCCTCTGGCCTTTGGTAAAACATTGAAGACCTGAATGTGCTCCAGGGCCGGAGGGATAGAAGGCTAGATGGCCCATTGACAGGTCTTTGTCAATTGTTTTGCTTGGTCATTGTGGGTTTTTAATTCTTTCCTAATATAATTTTTTCTATTGTTTTAACGTGTTGTTAGCTGCCTAGAGTCGCATTTGCGAGATGGGTAGCCATATACATTGATTTAATAAATAAATAAATAATAATAAAATAAATAAATAAACAGCACTTTTTAAAAATTCATATGAAATGTGTTATTAAGCTACCAAAGCTAATATTAGTTACTCCTTTGCTGAAGCGAATTGTACAATCCAACCAACCTGCGCAATTGTTCTGATTCAAAGCTACTGTTTAATCATAAATTAAAATCTTCTCAAAAATCTGAGAGGTAAAAATTTCCCCAGTGAAAATTGGGAAATTTTGTGCACGTTGCCACTCCTTAAACATAGTACATCCACAGAACATATACAGAACATTCATTCTTGCTGGGGGTGTATAGGATGCATTTTTTATTTCATTCAGTCTTTAGCAGTCATAGCACAGGATACTTCCTAGCCCTGCACTTTGCTTATACTATCTGCATATATCTTGTTGGAAACCACTTATTCAGTCTCCAGAAAATCAAATCCATTTTCTAGTAGCACTCTCCACTTCTGATTCTTGATACCCTTTTCTCCCTCCTTTGTTGGCCAGGACATTTATAAACTGCCCTCAGTCCCTCTCACTAGAGAGTTTTAGGCTGCAATATCCACTTATCTAGGAGGATTGTCCTATTGAACCCAGTGGGACTTCTTTCTAAATAGACATGTGTAGTGTTGTGCCATTTAACTTAAAGCAGTAGGAGTAAAGTAGAGAGATAATTCCATTCAAACTCCACGTTAGCATTACTTACAAAGGCAAGGAGGCTGTACTTGTGGAAGGAGAGCTTATTAGGGGTGTTCCACAAGGACTGGAGTCATCATTGCTATAACTCAAATGGAAATCACTGTCTTTCCAGTCCTCAGCTTGATCTTCAGTGTTTTCCACAGCCACTTCCTGATGATCACATAATAGGAATGAACCACTTGGCAAAACAACAATAGGAATCCCAAACCAAGTTCAGACATGCTCACAATGAAAGATACAAGGCTACTGACTGGAGGAAGTATCTTTACTTTATCCCATGAAGTCCAGCCATGAAGCTCCAGTGTGGAAAATGCACCTCTGTGGCCAAACACCTTGAAGGAGTTGGTCATGTGCCTACCCCTCAAAAAAACCCCAACCCTTTATGAATCCTTTCGATCTTAAGAATTACCATCCATTAGCTAATATATCCTTTTTAGTGAAGCTATTTGAGAGGGCGAAGGCTATACAGCTGCAGGCACTCTTGAAAGAAATGGATTATTCCTCTATTTCTTGCACTCTGGGTTCAGTCCTAGATTATGAATGAGCCTTGTTTACCCTGATAGATGAGCAAGACAAACAGGGGGAATGCATTTATTCTCCTTAGCCTTTTGTTGCTTTTGGTATTGTTGACCACAATATCCTTATGGACTATCTCTGTGGAGTTCAGGGCACCATATTGTGGTGCTTCTGTTCCTACAGAGATGTGTTCAGAAAAAAAACATAGCATAGCTCAGCTCCTGATAGTTAGCTGTAAGGTTCCAAAGGATTCCATTCTCTCTCTCTAATGCTATTCAATATCTAATGTGATGCCAAAGCAATCATTACAAGATTTGGAGTGAGGTGTTACAGTACAAGTATGCTGATGACATCCAATCCTATTTCTCCATACTATCAACTGAGTCAGGAAAGGCTGATCTGGTTGTGCAGTTAGATGAAGATTGGTTAGCTGAGGCTGAATCCTAATTAGGTGGAGGCTCTATGGATAGGCAGTTCCTTTCTTTAGAAATCAGGGAACTGTAGATAGGGTTGTACTCCCCCTGAAGAGCAAGTGTGTAATCTGGGGGGCGGGGGTCCTAGAACCATCTTTGTTGATGGAAACACAAGTGGTCTCTGTGACAAAAAATACCCTTTTTCAGGTCCTCCTGCTTTGCCATTCAAGGCAGCCATTCCTTGATGGGAATAATTTGGCCACAGTGACCCATTCATTGGTAACTTCAAGATTATCGCAATGTGCTGTATGTGGGATTGCCCTTAAATTGGTCCAGAATCTGCAACTAATCCCAGCAAGGTCATTTATAATGACAAACAAAACTCTGTGTGTTTTAGAATCTAGACATTTAACCAAGTACCTTCTCATATTTGCTTGACCATCAGCGATGTTATATTTAGGATGCCCTCTGAAAGGTAACACATCTATGCAGCAGCCCAAGGCAATCATTTCCAACACAAACAGGTTGGTTGGGGAATTCTTTTCCTGTTTATAAATTGCTGGTGTTGAGACTCTTAGATTTTCAGCTTTAACACTTTTAGAGTCTCTTATGCTTAGAACATTCCTCTTCATTCATGTATTACTGGTATTAATCCCCTCATCTCTATTTTTTTAAAAAACCTTAATGTAAAATCTAAAATATAGGAGAGCTTTTTACGTTAAGATTTTTTAAAAAATAGAGTTCTCCTATATTATTATTATGTTAAATTGTTAACACTTTAATTTAATGTACACCACATTGGAATTACCTTTAACAATGAAAAAGCAACTAGTAATTTTATAAACAAATAATAATAAATACATCCAGCTAAGTTACCAAGCATTTTATTCTCACTTTCTTCGTCCCATTACTAACACACTATTTACACTTTCCTTTGGTTCTTCTCTATATTTGTCTTTTCAAAAGAACACAATCTCTTCCCTCAGCTGGTGAAATGAAAGGACTTCTTACTGGAGTTTTCTTGTACAGTTGGCTTGTCTCAACATGGAACTTACAAGGGGTTCCAAAAATGTTGTTAAAAAGGGCAAGATGGAACAGCCAAGCAATGCCTTCTGACTGACACCTTAGGAGCTGGACATCTAGTAGTCCCCAAAGGCAAAAGATAGGATTCTCCTTTGATCATCCAACCCTAGTAATCTATCTAGTTATAAAACAATGTTCTGAGCAACACCATAGCTTACCATTATACTTGGTGGTATCTCTTTCTTCAGTATTTTCCATTCACGTGGAGTCTGCTTCATAAGTTCTAAAGACGAGGCCTCATCTACATCCGTTTCTGCTGTACTGGCCATCAGGTAGTGCAGGACCTTCTTTCCTGGATCCTCATCAAACTGGCTATCCCGAAACTGAGAGCATCCAGGTTCCTCGCACAGATCAGGAAGTCCTTCCATGGCCTCCGCTTCCCAGTTCATGACTGGCAGCCCTTCCAAGACCTGCAGTGCCCAATTTCCCCTTCTCTGGGAAGCAGATCTCTCCCTAGCTTGGTTTTTAAAAATCTGTAAATGACTTTCCTGCCCCAATTCTTCTTCTTTGTGTACAAGTGATCCCTTTGTGTCTCCTTTGTGAGCTACAGCAACCCTTCCATTCTGCTCTCCAGCACCAGAGAAAACCTGAGGGCCCTGTGCCAAGTACGGGCTGCCAACACAAACTGGCTCCATCAAATACGTCACCTGGAATAGAGGGTGAGAAGTTAACCGTTAAGGATTGTTATTAAATCCGCTCTCAGCAAAGCACACCTGAGGGTTTTTTCTCTTTCAGACAAATTTTTTCCTCTTAATGAGCATGCTTTGGAGTGACACTGAGGCCACATCCCGAACTTGGCAATTTCCCTCCTCCAGTCCTCCAGAGAGCATCACCACACATTATTTAGTGTGATGGTCCAGATGCCAAAAAAGGACACAACATTAAATTGTCATAAGAGATTGCATGAGACTGAAAAAAAATCTCAGAGATTTCAGCAATTTTTATTTTATTTTGGGAGAAGTAAAAGCACACATGGGGATCCTTTAAAAGTCACTTTGCTAATCCCTGATAAGTATAGAGAAAAAGTATAAGTTTTCAATAATGCTAGATCTCTATTAGAATTAGGCCCCATATAAGCAGATTGCTCAGCTTTATTTTTGAAATAGTGGAAATTATAAACCTTTGCCCATCTTTACTATTTATCCTGACTTTCTACCCACACTGAAATTTGCCTCTGTAGGCAGACTATCCATTTTACTGAGATCCCTAATCTCAGCTATTGAGCAAACTACCATCATATCCCACCACATTAAGTCACACCTACTAGCTGCTATACCTCAGATAGAAACCTCCAGAGAGCATCCTGCTTGCATTTCCCACTCTCATCTTGTTCTCCTTTGTTAGCATATTCCCATGCCATGGAGTTGCCAGTTTCCAGCTGGCTTGTCTCCTCTTGGCTGCTGCTCTCTTCTAACTCCTCCTGAGCATCTTCTTCAGTTTCCTGCCAGCTGTTCAGTTCCAGATCAAGGTCTAAGCTGGAGTCTGGAGAGCTACAGAGAGATTTGCAGCTGCTGCTCTTCTCAGACTCAGTGAAGAATTCTCCTTTGGATTCCAGCCAGGTCCACACATGACCCATCTAAAAAAGGTAGAGAGGGAAAGGTTGTGACTTATGCACTCGCTTCTTTTCCTTTTGGACATAATAAAGGTGATAGAAAGCTTCAGAGCAGACAGAGTAATATGTGCACCTAGTCTGTAAAGTACATTATGTCTCTTGCTGAATTTCACAAGAAGAAATAATGTCAAAAAGTATTCCAGTCTTCTGATTAACTACATGACATTACATCCTCCCCAGCCTAGCACTCTGAAAATGTTTGATTTAGCCTTTCCAAAGGAGAATTCTGGGAACTGTAGTCCCAACATATTTGAAAAACTTCAGGTTGAGAAATGCTGCACTGGATCCCACAGTATTGGACAAGAGTTTTGAGGGAAGGTTGTTGAGAAGATGGTAGATCCAAAGGGCTCTGCTGGAAGCAGATTATCTGGACCCATTTCATTCAGGTTTCAAGACAAGTTATAGCACTGAGACAACATTAGTTGCCCTTATTGATGACCTCTGGAGGACTCAGGATGGCGGTGGTGCATCCATCATGGCCCCCCTTGATTTTTCAGTGGCCTTCAATACCATTGACCATAGTATCCTTCTGGATTAGCTTAAGGGTTTATGGAGGGAAAGATTTTACAATGGTTCTCCTCCTTCCTGCAAAGCCAGTTCCAATTAGTGGTAGCGGAAGGTCCATCCCTAGGCCCCTGTATTGTGTGGTGCCTCAAGGTTCGACTCTCTCTCCACTCATATTTAACATTGACATGAAGCTGCTGGGTGAAGTCATTCATTGGGATGGGGTTAAGTATCATCAGTACACTGATGATCATTGTACATTTCTGCCCCTTGTCCTCCAAGTCAAGGTTCTTCCCCAGTGCTTGGAGGCTGTGGGGTCCTGGATGGGGAGGAAAAGGCTCCAACTCAACCTTAGCAAGAGTGATGAGTTGTGGGTTTTTGGGTTTCCCAGATCTGGAGTTGTTCCATCTCTGATTCTAGATGGGGTAGTGCTCTCCCAGACAAGTTGATGCACAAGTTGGAGGTCCTTTTGGACTCATGGCTCCTGTTTGAGAAGCAGATGACAGCCATGGCCAGGAGGGCCTTTGAACAAATCTATTTTGTATATCAACTGTGCCCATTCTTGGATTGGGAGGCTCTTCTCACGGCCATTCACCAGTTGGACTACTGAAATGTACTATGAAGAGCATTCAGAAGCAGCATTAGCTTCAAGGTGCAATTCAAGGTGCACTAATAAAGCTCTGTATGACACAGGGCTGAGACCACTTGATTCCAATGGTTTCCACTCACCCTACCAGATCTGGCAAAGTGGGTATGCTTCAGATCCCTGGAATGTCATCTTGTTGGGCCCAGGTGGTGTGCCTTTTCTGTTGCAGTTGTGCCCTTTGAAACAACCTTCCCTGAGGTTCAGATCACCCCAACCCTACTAGCTTTCCAGAAGACATTGAAGACCTGGCTTTTTGCTTAGGCATTGGGGCCAGCATGTTAGTTGAGCCTGGAATGAATATTTCATGACGAAAGAATTTTGTCTGTATTCCATTTCATGGAAGAATTTTGTTTGGAACTTCAATTGTATTGTATTGTATAGTTTGCATTCTATTTTCTTTCATATTTTCTTTATTGTTAGCTGCCCAGAGTCACTAAGCTGAGATGGGTGGCCTTATGAATTCTTGAAATACATTCAGACATACATTCACACACATGCACTATTCAGATGCAATGATATAAATTCTATGACAACCCTTTCAAGCCAAGAACCAGAATACTTCAGTAAGAAGGCTGAAACCTGGAAGAAAGTCGCTAGATTTGTTAACAGTCAGGAATGAGGCCAATGCAGTTCAAAGAAAAAGAGTTCCACTTCTCAATTAAGGCAAATTGAATCAGTGGGTGAATTTTCCTAATAATGACAATTTACTGACAATTTACTTTCCTAATAATGACAATTTACTTTCATGAAATAATTTTGTGGCCACTGTCTTACTACACTCAGATGTAATGTTCTACATAGGTTCCACCGGTGTTCATGGAAAATCAAAGTGATGGCTGGCTGCAGTTCAATGCTTTATTTGTAAATATGCTTACTGTACTCACCCCCCCAAAAAAGGACAAAAGGTAAGTTGGGATAATAAAGAAAACCCTAGGTCCTAACAAGGATGGCAGGGAAAACTTTGCTAGTTTGCCTCCAGATAAATGGATGTCATGTAATTAACTACATCCACCATGACAGGTATTTTTTGACTATTTGCAGCTATTTTCTTTGAACACCCATGGTATGCTCTCAAAATATCAAATATACTCAATCACCCCAAAAGAATGGAGACCCTGGTATAAATGCAGGCCACTTATTCAGTAAGATGAAAGAAGGGGCAAAATAAAAGCACGTATTTGAATTCATTAATTACAGAAATATCTTCTATTCTTTCTGTTGATCATGTCAAACTGGGAATCCCAAAACATCCCATTGTCCTCATACACAACCTATACATAGGACAGGAACTAACCGTCTATATGGAACACAGCAAAACACAGTGGCTCCAGGTCAGCAAAGGAGTAAGAAAAGGCTGTGTACCCTTTCCTTATTTATTCAACTCATATACTGAATATATTGAGGGAGGCTGGATTGGAAGATGAGCATGGTTTTAAAATTGGAAGAAGAAACATCAGCAACCAGCACAATGCTGATGACACTACTCTGATAATGGAAAATGGAAATGATTTGCAAACTCTAGTAATGAAAGTCAAGGAGCACAGTGAAAAAATGAGACTAAAGTTAAATATAAAAATGACCAAACTAATGACAAGAGATACAACAATCAGCCTTAGAACTGACAATGATATTGAAGTGGTGGTTAGCTTCACCTAGTATTTTAGGATCAACAGTAACGGAATCAACAATCAAGAAATAAGCTGCAGACTAGTACTTGATAGGACAGCAGTGAAAGCCTTGGAAAAGATGCTGTGATGTTTCTGTATCTACAGTATCAGAATCATGCAGGCAATGGTTTTCCCTGTGATTCCATTCTATGGAAGCAAAAAGTGGGACTTTTAAGAAGTAGGATAGGAAAAGTATTGACATGTTTGAATTTTGGTACTGAAGAAAACTCCTGAGAATATCAAGGATAGTCAAGAAAACAAACGAATCATAGAACAAATCAGTCCAGAGTTCTCACCTGAGGCACAAGTAACCAGGCTCAAATTACTGTACTTTGGACACATTATACAAAGATCTAGATCTCTGGAAAAGTCTATAATCCTAGGAAAGGCGGAAGGAAAGAAAAGATGACCAGAAGCAAGTGGCTAGACCAGTGGCTAGACTTGATTGTAGCAAGGATGGGTGCACTGAGAGACCTGAAGGGGCAGGATGGAAGCAGATCATCATACAAGTCCATTTATATAGTTGCTAAGAATCAACATTGATTTCATGCACATAATCGATCAATTTGCATCCAACAAGTTGCTATCTAACGATGGAAGGCAAAAATATTGAATATATATTCAGTAGATTTCTACCACTTAATGTCTGGTCCTGGAACTTGGCATAGTTAGACAGGTACCCAGAATCCAGGGATATGTGAAGGTCCAGTGAGTCAAGGCTGGACTATGTACATTTCCAGCTTGATGTAGCTGTGCAGGTGATGAGAATGTTATCTCACTGGGAAAGAGGTAATTGTTCAGGCAGAATTGCTCAAAAACAATTAATCTCACCTGGATCCATAAACTGCATGTTCTAAACTATGGTGTCCATATAATACTAGACTCCAGCACTATCATATTTAAAGCAATTACATTAACTCATTTCACTCAGTGAACATATAGTGGTTAATTGCAGCTTTTGCCAAAAGCAATCAATTAAATGTATAACGTGCTTGCAGGTAATTATCCAAATTTCCACAAAAGGAAATTATCTATAAGAGAGTTAAAAGAGCTACCTGCTTACTCCTTCTTGTGTTGTTGAACTGAAGCAACAGAGCTCAGTACCAGAATGTGGAACCATTATGTGTAAAAATTGGGCATCACCATTTAAAGTGTCATTTTAGACCAGTCTCTAACATTGGTGGTTTGAAGAGAGTAGAATAAAGAACATCCAATTAAGCAAAATTGAAAAAGATAGAAAAGCCAAGTCTGAAGAATTACTGTCAGTCAGAAGGCATAATACACTGTAGGGAGAAATAATATGATTCAATCTTATTTAACCTGGATGTTCTTTTAAGAAAAGATGTCATGCAGAGTTTCACAAAGCAGATTGAAAATATTTCTGTTACGTAGCAAGCATATAGCGAAAGAATGATCCTTTGGCCTCTGTTCTGTTGCCATTCTTATATTCAGTGTATGTTATTTTCAGAGAAGATGCTATTTGAGCCCATGTCCTGCTTAAGCTTCCCAGATATGTTTGTACAATTACTGGAATAATTGATTGCAAGATTATACAGATCTTTATCCCATCTCGGCTGGCTTACATTTTCAGCTATGCTTCTACACACACTGTAAAATTACAAAGAGAGGGCCAGGGGGGACAGACACAAACCACACAGAGAAACATGGCGTATTATGGAGAAAACATCTGTCAAGTTTTCTCCCCACCATAGTGTTTTATGATGCACAGAAAAGTGTGTTCTAAGTGCACAGAAGTGTGTATTTTTAAAAGATAGTGCATTCAGAAAGTATTCGGACCCCCTTCACTTTTTTCAATTTTGTTATGTTACAGCCTGATACTACAATAATTCAAATTCATTTCTTTTTCTCATTAATCTACACTCAGTACCCCCTAATGACAA